CACGCCAGGTGAAATTTAGTAAAAATATATACCTGCAACTAATGAAATGCTTAACCCTAACCCTATGTGATGTCGGCCAAATGATCGTTCGGTGAAATGATTGTCGGTGAATTGAAGGGATCCCAAAACGCTGTTACACAAACTTTATATAAGAGCGAACTTAAAATAGGCAAAAAATTTTTCATAGTTAAGCCTATCCAAAAACTTATAAAATTATAATTTAGAGGCATTTCTTAAAATAAGAAGTTGAGATTGAATGAGTTTGAATGTTCTACCAATTTTCATTATAGGCGATTTGATGATAATAGTACTGTAGTATTTAGTATAAAGTTACTACATTAAGTCTTTGGCATTTAAAATGCAATAATTAATATAATGATGGTTTTTTTTTCTTGAAGTAAAAGTCTCAAACTTCACGTGAGCAAAGTATTGTAGTGAATAATGACTAACGCGATGAATGGCACGAAGCGCCAGCTATCTTATTCAATGATTTAAGAATAAAATTGGTGCTGTAAACTCTAAATAAAATATTTACGGCAAATTTATTAATAATTAGATTCACACCTACTGTTAAATTAAAAACGAAATAAGCATTAGAATAGCAAATATCAATAATAAGTTATGAAATCGCAATTTTTTAGTAAGCCTTGAAGTTTTCTAAGCATTATATCTTAAGAACATAAATGCTGAGGATTCACATAATTTTCAAGTATTTAAATTAATGTTTGTCAGCCATGCCAAATACTTGCTATTAAAAGCATGAACAAACCTACTGTTAGAATTACGAAGCCATTTATTGTTAAAATTAATTCTTATGTGAACCCACCCACTGTTAAATTTTGAATACATCATACTATTAATCATGAACTCACACCTACTATTAAAATCATTAATTACCTACTATTAAATTGTGAACCATTCACCGTTGAGATCATTGGCTCATTCACTACAGAAATCACTAACTCATCCATTACTAGCATTAGGGCACATCCTTACGTCTGTGCTACAGTAACTATAAATTATCATATAACTAGGGATGGACAAGTCCGGTCCAATCCGCCCGGACCGGTCTATTGATGTTTTCAGTCCAGTCCTCGGTCCCAATAACGGTCCTTAATTATTTAATCTTATTGGCTAGCGGAGAAAATCAAATCATATGACGTCGGTAATTGAAAATAAAAGATTATGTAACATATTTTTTAATTAGTTATTTAAATTATTCATGAGGACCGGTCCAGACTGGTCTCAGGACCGAGGACCAGTTAACCATAAGACTGGTTAAAAAGACTGGTCCTTATTCGGTCTTTTCAGGACTAATCCATCCCTACATATAACCGACTCATAGGATTACTAAATCATGTAATAATTTTGATTGACACCTAATCAATAGTTCCAATCAAAATAATTCAATAAACCATTCTTACTGTTATATTAGAAATTAGAAACGGCTTATCAATATTAAGTCTGTAAATATGCAATTTCATAAACTTTTTAGAATTATCGTTTTTTCATTGTATCTGATGTTGAAATTTAATTAAGTTCTATTTACCTAATTTGTTCATGCAGTGTAATATTCTTTGCTATTTATTTTTTTACTGTTTTTTGCATTCTGTATCACATTTGTGCATAAGATCAACGGCCAAAATTTCCTTTAAATCTATAAAAGTGACATTTTTTATTCGTATACGATACTATGTATGGTGGAGAAAAAAAAATTTAGAAACGATTAAAACGTTTAAATTCTAGTAAAAAAAGCATCCTTTTTGCACTTATATGTCTTCCAATTTAGGTTTGTTTTTACTTTTTGAGCTTTTTTCACACTTTTGGTTTTTTTTTCTTACGATTTTCTGGTATGATGAATAGATAATCACTGATCATCAAAGAAACTAGTGAAAGAGCCATAACGAAGTAATTTAATACTCAGTTTTTTTTTAAATTTTATTATGTAAATCAAAACGATAAAACGTGTTTTTTAGATAGCGATCGATAGGTAACAATTCTTAAAAAATTTTAAATATATGCACATCTTTAACGGGTCGATAGTTTTGGATAAAATTTCGTAAAGGCCAGTATTATGTCTCTGCAACTAAAGCTATAGAGACATTTCTTTAATTTCTTTATTTAAACAAAAAAATTTTTAATAAGATTTTTTCTTAAAGAAAGGACAAAAAAAAAAAAGGCTTAATTTAGTTTCTTTTAAAAAAATGACTAGCTTTGTAAAAATGTAATATTGACAATTCAACTAAAAATTGCAAGCGGGTGACGAAATCACCCGCAACATCTAACATTTGCTAGTTAAAATTATAATCTTATTATTGTTTCGTTTGCTAATTAATGTACCACAACTTGACACATATCTAAGGTATGCCTTATTATTATTTACATTTAGTATCAAAATCTAATTTTAGCCATGGCTAGGATACCACTTCACAGTCTGGTCTTTTGTAGAACCGACGCAACCCTAAATAAGGTTGTTAATAATTTGAGGATACTCCGATTTATATGAGGATACTCCGATTTGGAAATTAGTAAATGCATTACTGTTACAGTACAGCTGTATAAATAAGGTACACTACGGTTTTTGCAATTCTCGCAATAATAAACTTAATAAATTTTTACGCATACGTATTGATCTTGTTAAAATAGATTCTATAGAAATGTCTGACTTATCTGTATCAGATTGTATGTTTGAAAACTAGTCTTAAGATAATGCCTTATAACTATATAAACGTTTTATGTGTTACTATACTAAATTATATTCATATTCTGCAGATGAAAACTTTGCAAATAATCAAATGCCAAATCTCGGTTATGAGATTGAAGATTTCCAGTATTACACGTGGCAAATCACTGGTTGGAGAAATTTGGACGCGATGGTGACAAGTCCTGAATTTATTGCTGGAGGTTGGAGATGGTAGGCTTATTTATACCTAATTATATGTAAATACATATGATCATATTTACTTATGAGCCTAAAATCTAGGCATATTTCGCTTTATCCTTTTGGAAATGATAATATTGATTATGTATCAATTTACCTGGTGACTGAATCTTATGGAGCATCTAATGATTGGCATTCCTGTGCACAATTTGCTTTGACCTTATGGAATTCAGAAGATCCAACAATATATGATTCTTCCAGTACATATGAGAACTATTTCATTCTGTAAATCTTAATAAGTCTTGTCGCTAATATATTGATTTTTACTTATAGCTACACAAAAACGTTTTTATGCTGAAGAAACGAATTGGGGATATCCAACGTTTTGCGAACAGCGTAATTTATTTGTTCCAATGGAAAACCAAACTCGTCCTCTAATCGAAAATGATTCGTGCAATATCACAGTTTTCATTCGTATTATTAAGGACGAAACTGGCTATCTCTGGCATAATTTTAAAAAGTATTAGTTTTTTTTTTTCTTTTACTTATATTTTGAACTTAAAGTTGACTTTTAACATGTAAACCCCTTATAGTTATGACTCAAGACGAGAAACTGGTTGTATTTCCCTAAAAAACGAGGGAACAACTGGATATATGAATGCTACGCTACAATTATTATTCAACATGACCAGTTTTCGTAAGGTTAGCATTCGTCCACTAAGCTTTAAACCAACATTTTTAAGGCTGATTGCATTCACCTTTTTATTATAGGCAGTGTACCAAATCCCAACGGATTCTGACAAACCAGATGAAAGCGTTCAATTTGCTCTACAAAATATTTTTTATCAAATGCAAACATCAAATACTCCAGTTAAAGCAACGGAATTAATGAAATCTTTTGGATGGGATTCATTAAACTCTTTATGCAGCACGATGCCCATGAGTTTAACAGAGTGTTACAAACCAATTTAGAAAGTAAAATGAAGGTGAGTTTTGTTATTACAAGTCACTCTCTTTATAGTAAAGTAATCGAGACTATTAGTAAAAGCTTTTAAAAATTCACTGAGAGTTTATCAGTAAATTCATTACTCTGTTGAGAATTTTATATAGATTGGTTTTGCGTCTAATTTCACTATAACTATGTCATAACGAGTGTGACTTAATTGCTAGAGTCCAATATGAAACTTATTGTAAAATATCAGAAATTTCTGTTTGATTAAGATGATTTCTGAAGCTATTGCTCGCTTTCCCGAAATGCTATTTCACCGACTCATAATTCTGATATCCAATTATGTCCTGTTAGTAAAATGGATTTCAGTATTACGATTTCGGTGACTTTGGGAAGTTAATCCGAAACTGATTTCTGGAGTAATTTTAAGACAGTAGGATAATTATATTATTTTAGATGTTCTCAACCAGCTCCTTTAATGTGATTTACTAGTGATCTGAATGTTACTTAATCATTTCATTATAACAATTTTGTCGAAAATTCATTCTACAAAATGCGATAAATTTCAGAACAAACCTGTCAAGGGTTTTCTTGATTTAAATGATTATCAGATTTACATTTTAGCAAAAAGGATCATTCTATAAATCATGGAGTGAAGCGCTTGAAAACAGCAAATTGCATTGATTAAAAAAAAAATATATTATTTTAGAGAAAAGAGGTTAAATGTGGCAAAATTTTGTGCTCAAATAAAGTCAATTTTAACCAAATTCACAATAAATTATAGGATACAAATGCAATTGCCACACTCTTTGCCGGAAAAATAAAGAGTTATATTAAATGTATTGACGTAGACTATGAGTCATTCTGTGCTGAAGATTACTATGGTATCAATGAATATATTAGTTATGAACAGTTTGCTATTTTTTTAAGACTAGTTTAAAGTAACACTTAATTATATCATCGTACGTAGATATTCAACTTAACGTAAAAGGGTGCACGAATTTGGATGAATCTTTCATGGATTATATAAAAGAGGAAATTTTAGAAGGAGATAATAAATATGAAGCTG